GATTGTAGCCGGAATACAATTCGTGATAATCGCACAATACACTGTTAGCACACACCAAGCCACACGTGTTCACTTAGACGGTCAGACAGTACAGCTTTAGTCAAAGAGTACACAGAAGCCTCAATCAATTACTCAGCATATCAACAGGTCCCCTACAGATGGGATTGTATCGCCCTGTCGATAACTCCAACAGTAATTAATTTAGCATCACTATTTTTTTAAGTTTATCGTAGGATTCTCTCATTGATTAAAGACTATTCCACTTTTCTGTTTTGATCTCTAAGTAACTATAATTCGTACTGCTTATTTACCTACTGCCCACCAATCTATTTAGAGTTATTTCATTATATGTCATTGTAGTGGTTAAGATCTTTTGTAGCTTTGTTTTTTTTCCCTTCAGTTATGACAGCTATATCAATCCTTTTCACATTCAATTTTTTATGTAGATGTTTTTTTATTGCTCAGTCCTCTTCATGTAGCTAGTTTTAATTGTCTTGTGATACCAAATTTTTTATCCTTTGCATCCTTAAATTGTATCCATTATTCATCTGGTTGTGTATTGTGAAAAGAGCCCGTAATCATAAAGAATCTCCTGGCCATGTAACGGGTGCTGTGCAGGTTCAGGTTGGTGATGGGTCTGCCACTTCACAGCTTCTGAACCAGCTGAGTGGTATTTTGGGCCACCTATCCTAGGCAGGTTGCTTCACTGGGCTAAGGGTCTGCCTACCCTTTAGAGAACAACCTCGTCATATTGAAGATCTTCATCAGAGCTACCATTCAGGTCCTCTTCTGGAGTAATTCTTCGTCTGACCCCTCCCCTTTGACCTGACTGGCAAAGAGGAGGGGCCCTGCCAGATGCTACACGACTCCTGGCATAGCTCTCAGGATCACAGGAGTACTCAAACTACTCCACCTTCGTCAAGGTCAGGTACTCCCTAGGTGGAAAGATAAAATACAAAATGTGCATAATTAGATTTTGGCAATGTGCATCTAAAATGATACATTCATATCTTTCATTTTATCAAATGAAATTTTGAAATTCTTGTAAATTGAGAAAAATAGTACAAAATATAATGTAATGCGAAGTTGTATGTTGCGGTATTAAATTCAAATAATGGTAATATTAATTCTCCCAAAAATAATCAATTATATATTCTTAAAAATTTATTGAAAGAATAATGTGAATTATTGCAGGAGGAGAGTGAAATTGGTTAATGATAACATTGAAATTGTATTTCCACACTATTCAAATTCATCTCAATAAAATTGTACACAATATTGTAAGTTGTCTACCTACTTATTATGTTCATAAATATAATTAATCACATAAATATTATGAAACTTAATACTCCTTTGAGAAAATCAGTTATCTACGCACTGTAAAAATGCATTGGATCCAATGTGTTGCACATTTTTTGTATTAAAAAAAAGTCCTAATTTAAAGCTACTTTCCTGAAGAGGACCGATGACAGATTAATTTCTGTATGCAGAAACATGATTTTTTTAATTCAACCTTACCAGGAATGGTCACTAGAATTTATAGAATTTTGAATGAATACATGAATTTTAATGGTGTTGAAATAAAATTATAAAGTTATAAACCTGATTTACATCGTGTCTCTTTCCAATAATTGGCCTTATCTTATTGAAAACTTCATAAAAATATTCATTAATTATTTGCCTTATATAAATTTGGAAACTTCCAGTGCTTTGTTCTGTTAACTTTTCAGTTCTAAAAGTAATTCAGTAAATAACTGTTCTAAATAGAATGTTGGAACTTAAAAGGGTTAATTGTTTCTTTAAAATCGATGAAGTACACCGAAAATAGTACCCAATAAAATTAAAGAATATATTGCAAAACTAGGAAATTGAAATGTGTTCTGGTAAAAGAGGCCAACCTTGCGCAGCACTTCTTGAGACGATGATGACGAGGATGATGATGACTAGGACAACGACGACGAGGATGATGATGACTAGGACAACGACGACGATGAGGACGTCAAAGCTTAAGAGATGCACATGAACACTAACAAGAATTTGACCAAATAGCTGAGATTGCTGATATGATAATAAATACTATTGGAAAAAGTATTTTTTCAAATTAATCAAATTCCAAATTATTAACCACAATTGATTGCTATGTTGTGAAAACAAGCAGTGTTAATTCATATTAAAGTGACAATATTTCATGAATTTTTTTTCCAGACCTTCAAGTGTTAATGCAAAGAGTTGAAATCTGAAAATATTATAGAACGTGTATAGAAGACTTAAAAAATGAAAATGTAATAAATTGTAAAATTATGACCAGGGAAATTAGTAGTACAAAAATTTAAAACAAAGTAAAACGTAAAATTGAGGCAATAGAATCAAATAATATCATTAATAGAAACAAATATCTACCTCATCTTAGTCACTAGTAAAACTATGTTCAAATGATCATTGTATTTGCAAAAAGCATAAAGAATACTATGGTATATGAATGCACATGTTCTCATATATGACACAAAGCCAGGATTCGTCTTAAGGATAGAAACTATGTATAGAAGCAGAAGGCAAGTAAGACCAATGTGAAAAGTTGAAGGGAAGACACCACAGGAAGAAGGGGTGGCCACAGATTGAGGGGGGGGGGGATAGGAATGGATGTGAGTAACGAAGAAAGGAAAAGAATTAAACCCAAAGTACAAGAAACAGAAAGAAATTGAAAATACTTTGAGAACTAAGGTTGTAAATTTCTTTGTTTTTCTTATTAAATCATGTGAAGAGTTGGTTAAGAAGTTGTGACTGTAAAACAAATAGAATAAAAAATTCAATACCTTAGTTGTCAATGTATTTTCAATTATTTTTGGTTTTATTCCTAAGCAGTTTTTTTCTTTTTTCCTTTTCCTTCTTTACCTTTCTATTTTGGTTTGCACAACATGGATATGTAATTTCTCTTGACTTAATTTTACATTTTACTTGTTCAAAGTTTTTTTTTTACCAAGTGCAAGTTCCATAGTACAGCAAAACTTGCTTAAGATGGAACCTTAAGCAATCAGAATGTTTTTTCATATTAGACAAGAGTCCGCTTTATGCTGTAGAATTTGTGATTGGGAGGACCGTGATTTAGGTTCACAGTAGACATATTTCAGCATTATACATGTTTAGAACACTTGAACATCTGGATCAACATCCTCAAAACATTGTGACTTTAATTTGAATAAACTGTTTTTTCACAACTGTTGTGTTACTTGAAAACCCATTCAATTGGAAAACCTTGGAAAGCATTGTCATTGTCAATCAACCTGGTATCTTTCAGTTCAATGTATTAAAAATTATAGTTCTATCAATTCATTTAAAACATCCTGTGGATAAATTTGTGAAGCATGTAAGGAATGAAAGCAGTGATACATTGAAACAGTGATACAGTGGTAACATTCTGAAATCGTCAGAAATCACCTATTGTCAATCTGGTGTGAATTCAAGAACTGCAAAGATGCTACATAATGAATATTTATTTATTTATTCAAAATTAAATACATCAGTCATTATGCCCAATTTCAGGATTACAAACACATTACCCATGCTAGGCGTTTACATACTGATACGCATTGGGCACCAAGAACTCCATGGACTCGCGAAACAAATCTATTGAAACGGCAGAGTGCATAATAAAATCATTGACTATATTAGAAATTTTAAATAGTCTCAGATTATATACATATACATATCTATTGTGAGAAATTGGAATATAGATTGGAGGAAAATTGCGTACATTATGTTGAGGATTAGAGAGTAAGACACCCGACACCACCAAGGAAATCAATCATACTGCGAATTAATGTGATGAAATACATGATCGTGTGTAGCTTTCTTCAACCAAATAGACTGTCCAGTTGGAATTTGTACTATAATAACTCTCTTAATATTCCTCTTACAGGATAGGCACCAGTGAACTTAAAATATAAATATTTAGCAAATCTTAGCATTGACAAGACTCGAGGGCCTTTGATAAGTTAGTTGTGTCAGGAGACCATACCATGCAAGCATATTCCAGTTTATTCATAGAATATGGAAGGGAGGATGTACGCTTTTTACAGGAAAAAGCTTTCTTGGTGGTTGTGGTTAATTAGTTCTAGCGCATAAAAATTCAAGGAACTTGATCTCCTTTTAGTAACATCGATTTAGTATTTTATTTATCAAGATGGTAGTACATATTTTGTCAAGATCCAAGGGGAAGGGTGCCCACGACCTTCAGAATTGTCTCTACTTTGAAATTTGCCTTGTCCTTACTATCATCATAGTTGTATATTGATCTCCTTAATTTTTCCGTTCTTCTTCCTGTATACACAACATCACATTATAACTTCTTGAATTCCATGCTCCCATCTTCAACACAACACTTTGGTATCTGGGACATGCACGAATTCTAAATGTTGGCATGTATTAGAAGTCTCCTTTCATGCCCTAGTGTCAAGAATAATAAATTTCTAAAAATTATTTAGACCTTTAGCATGCTAGTGTAATATTTATGTAAATTTGTGGTATGCTTCCAGAACAGTAATCTTCTCTTTACAGAACTCAAGCAAGCAACTGCTTTTTAAACTCAGAAAGACTGGAAAATATGTCAGAAACATGCATGACAATTCTGTCATAATTTGAAGTTTTCTCTTGCTTTAGTGTTTGGATATCTTGAATTTAGAAAAGTCACTTGTTTTTATATGCTGAAGTAAAATACAATTTAGGAAAACTGACTCTATATTAAGTATTGTGAATATTAAACTTAAAAGTCAGTTTTGTAGATAAAATATATTTCATTAATCATTACACTGTTGTTTAGAACTGTGAATGTATGTGAAACAAACTTGAACAGGTGATCAATGAATGTAATTTATCAGTTCATTACCAGCAGTTTTACAAAACATCATCTAAGCATATGATGTGCTAATATTTGCTTCAGGAAAGTGTTAACCTGTTAACCAGACGTTTTTCAGTCATGCTGATATGTTAATATCTTTCTCCAGGTACAGTTGCATACATTGCTGTGTCTTATATTGGATTCTGGTGTCAGTGCTTATCCACATCCAGCAGTACCACTCCAGTTTTTTGAAGTTATGACTCGTTATCAGCGTATACTATTGCCCGAACCACAACGAATTCTGTCTATTATCTCTGCATTTTTGGGCACATGTGGTCTAAGGCATCCAAATGCTAAAGTACGATCTCGAGCTGCTTACTTGTTTTGCAAATTTATAAAGGGTTCAAAGTAAGTATTTCAATTATATTTTAGTGCATATGTAAAAGTGAGTTACAAAAATACAAAATTTATGAAAAACCTGATCAATCTAGAATAGACAGAAATACAATGCTGTGAAATAAATTGTTTTAGGTCAAATACCCTTTGTATAATTAATTTTCAATTAGTTCAGAAATAAAAGTATGAAATTCACATTATGCCTTTAGTGTGTTTGAGACGGCATCAAAATCTTAAGCTTTGTCATTGTTTAGCTTCTTTGGAAATTGGTGTTGTAACTCCTTAAATTGTTCTTGTTTTCAACAATACATAGTGCTCCTTAAAAAAAATATTATTTGTGTAATAACTGATTTATTGTGTAAAGATCTCTTTTAATACGGGTCTCTTTGAGATTTGAATGTTTCTAGAACTCCCATTCTCTGACTGACATTCTCTAAAAAGTATAATTATTTCATATTTTTGAAACTAATTTTCACAATGACCCATTTCTTCCTAAGTATTGAAATTCTTCTTCTTTTATTTTATAAATTACAGTTAAATATTCATAATATGTCCTGCAAAAAATATTTTGATACTTGACTGAAGCTGGATAGAATAACACGAATATGCAACGTTGGTTGGGAGTTTTCTTGAAAGGAAGTGTACAGACCGCTTGTAAAAAAAAGAAATGTTGGTAGTTTCTCATTTAATGTCCACAAAATTTTAGTGGTATGCAAAAAAGAAAATTAATTAAGCAAGTGTAAAAAATTAATGGAATTTTAAGTGTGTGTGATATTTTTTTTACGATCAAAACTTGTTAGACTTGTAAACTTTGTGTTCTTATCACCGCTAATTATATAAACAGCATGGACCTTTTGTTCTTCTCCTTATCTCTCCTTGTTATAGTTCCTTAAATTTCAATTTGAATGCCAAATGGCAAATTGCAATTTGGGTTTTATATTGGGCAACATATTTTCATTAGTAGTCTCCCTCACTTTGAAGGAGAGAGGACTACTTAGGACTCAAAATTGATTTATTATGAAGTATTTCCTGTTGTTAGAATATAATTTTTCTGTTCTAACCTGGATCTCTAACAAATCAATATCTCATTATGCTTCCCCATCATGAAATCATTTACAACTTTTGTTTTGAAGCGAACAGTCTGATGCTCTTTTCTGTGAGTTACAACATTTCTGTTTGCATAGAAATCCATTTTTGATAAGTGACAAAACAGGAATGTGATAATATAAAGTTTGCCAAGGGTTAGCAAATGATATCCTTCTCTAACAATTTTTGTCAAAATGCAAATTACTCCATTCAAGGATGAACGTTTGTGCTTTCTTTGAAACTTTGCCACTAACATAAAAATTTTTCAAAAATAGTTTTTTGTCCCTGCTGTGAAACTAAATCTCGCAGACCTTGCTTGTTTTAGCTGTCACCTCAAGTATGAAACTATTTGCTCATTAATAGTGATAAATTCTGGCTAAATCCTTACCAAAAGTTTTAGATATCTTTTTATTTCTTTAAATATGTTTTGAAACTTTCTTGCACATTTGGAATCTATGGAAGTCTGTGCGTCCTGTCATATAGGAAGGCACAACTGTGCCATGCCTTTTTAGAGTGCTGAGAAAACAATTGAGATTATGTCCTTTGGCATATTCCTCAACAGAACAATTTAAAGAGAGCACCTTCTTCCTAATATTACATCTCCTTTGTAATACTAAGCCCCTATAAACTCTTTGTCGGGGCTCCGTAATGGACATCAGCAATTCTCAAATCTGCCTGGAAACTCTCAACGATGCAAAAAAGGAACACAATATTTATTTGACTATAAAAGTCGTTTTGAAAATTGTATTCATGTAATAAATATTTATGTAATAAAAATAGTTTTAAACTTATTATAGGTTGTATTTACTGTACAAAAAGTTAAAGTGCTTGCAATGAATCGTATAGGTGAAATAAAATAGCAAACATTGTGTTCTGTGAATACTTCACACAATATTGGGAAGAAATTTGTTAAATGCTGTTTTTAGTGTTTATTTGTATATTGTTGCACTAAAGCACATTCTGAAATCGATTAATTTTTTTGTAACAGAGCAGTTATTCAAGCATTTACAAAAGATATCTTGGTTCCACTTCAAGAATTGCTGACTGTAAGTAATCAAACAAATGGATGCAAAGAGGATTGGATGTCATCTGATGATCAACTTTTTCTCTTTGAAGCTGCTGGAACATTGATTATTTCTAGTACTCTGCCTGATGCGGTAAGTTGATGGAAGAAAGTGCTTATTTTATCTTGAAAGACTCCAAGAATATTTAAGGCTTATGGAATTTCATATAAAAGTACCTTTGGTTTAGACATGGTACAAGAGATAAATATTATATTGTCCTCTTATAAATAGATTTTTAGTTAACCAGATGTCCGTAGAAAATGACTATTCTTGCTACAAGTGGTAGCTTTGAGTAATTTGTCACTTTCATTGACATCTTTGTTGATGTCTTTAATGATAAAGACAGTGTAAAGAATTAGGACCACTAAAGTGGTTGGATCTGATGTTTTTCTCTGTTGATAATTTTTTATGTGGATACAATCCCAATAAATTACCATTAGAATAAACTTGAAAACCACTTGTGTAGTGTGATAACACTTGTTTCTCTTATGCTACAGAAGAAAATGTAAATCATGAATTTCATATTTTTAACGGGGAGATATTTGACATTTTAATTTTTTTAAGGTTGGGATATTATAGGAAGCTTGATTCTTTGCCATGTGAAAATCTGCAATCTCTCCTTTCCATTTAAAATGAAATAAATACAAATTTTCAAGGCAATTAAACTGTAGTAACCCATGTCTTTGAGCACTTTCTCTTTTTTAAAATCTTTTTAAATATATTATTAAAATTATTATGTTATTTTCTCACCGAAATAAATGGATTAAAAGCTGTCCCTAGTGTTGGCTTGTATATTGTACTAAATCACTTTCTGATGAAGGTGTTTACACTAAAACATGAGGGGTTCTATATGTGCCTACTCCATCCATGGGCTTCAACCCCACTGTATTTTAAGCTGGTTACTGGCATAATAACATATTTTGTTGTTTTACTGCTTTCTAATACCTGAATCTTTTTGATGATTTTTAACATCTATATACAGTAGAACTTCCTGTATTGTGAACTAATTGGGGATGTGGTGTGTTTGGATTTGGAAATGTCAGGATTATCCGAAAAGATGTATCGTACATATATAAATACATCTATAGGATTACCAGACACAATGCAAAAATGCAGTGTGATGAAATGGCAAAGTGGTGTAGCGTTCGCATCATCACATTCCATCATTAAGTAGATTCGGTTCCTTATGGCAAAAGAAGATTACCGTTATCGCAAGTTCCTCTAAGCGATAATTACTACTACATAAGCACATAATATACACCGTTGTTACTAGTTCAACAAACTTTTCATTTTGACTACTTGTTTTTCAATAATTTGTTGTTCAGTGCTACAGTAATTATAAAATCATTTCTTTACATTACAAATATGCATTTTATTTATTTTGTGTTTTCTTTCTCTCTATCCCAAATTTTGTTTATATTATTGAACAGTTTGGATTAGCGGGGTTCTACTGTACTTCCACATTTTGGATAAAACACTTAATTTTTTAATGATTAGTGAGAAAATTCATAGTGTACACTAAAGAGGAGTAATCCTTAATTAAATGAATGTTATTAATTAATAGTTATTCATAACAATTGAAAGAGTTAAATGATGTACTGTTTCAAAAACTGTTTTGTTTTAATCAAATAACTTTTGTATTACAATTGTGTTGCTAAATCAAAAACTCTGTGACAAAGAAAGACTTACCGTAATTAAAAGATCTCGTTGCATTCAGATTTTGATATAAATTATTTCTCATTCAATGCGCAGATGTGCATAGATCACACATAGTACACTCTAGTGCACAAGTGAAATTGGACACTGTTTATATAAAAAAATATAAGGGTGTGTAAACTCCAAGGGTGTGTGTCTCCAAGAAATGACATGTTGCTATGATCTTAGATGATCACTTAGAGATGCGCTTATTCCATAGTCATATGAAACATCTATAAGTGACCACTTGTTGTTTAAGCAAGCACTTATTGCTTAAGGGTCATCATGTTCCTTAATTGTTAACTGTGAATACAGCCCAGAAGTTTGCTATACTAAGGAACACTCCTGTCATATTTCTTTTGAAAAATAGTTTATACGAATTTTGTTCAGTTATCCCTCAAGTTTTTTAAGAAAGTGAAGTAATCTGCAGATTGCCTTATTGGAGGTCTTTAGATGTAAAGTAAGATAATTTTTTGGGTAGTGAAATGTATAATTGTTCATTTTCAGCTGAGTAAATTGAATTCTGACAAGAAAGTAGAATCAATATCAGTTTTTATATAAATACAACATCCATATGCAAAGCCCTTATTTGATTCCACCTCTCTACAATCTGATCCTGCTGAATAAAAACTAAGAATTGATAGTGAATTTAGTGCATTATGAGTTTACCAGTGTTCCAGTGTTCTTTAATGTAAGAAACACTTATGGACGTAGATGGAAACACCTCAAAAGGATCAATAAATTCAATTTTATTTGAAAGAGATTGTGCATTATGATGCTTTGTGGGATTCTTTAGCATGCACCTGTTTGCATTTTTTTCTGTAACATCAGACTTCAGTGGTTATTTATTTATCTCATTTTTATTTTGAATTTCAATGTCTTGGTACAAGACGAGAGAAACCAGAACTATACTTGGGTAAACTACTACAATATTATTATTTTGTAAAGTTTCTTCGAAATAATATCATAAATATTATTTCTAAATTAACTAGAATGTTAGATCACTAAAGTTTCAATTTACCCTGAAGTTAGTTTTTGTTGTTGTTTGTTTTTTTTTCAGGAAAAAGTTACTGCATTTAAGACTCTTCTCCTTCCTATCATCAGCAAATATGAGTATCTTTTGAAAGAAATTTCTCAGGAAAATAATGTAAAACGACAAGAGGCTTTGGCTAATTCCATGTGTCATATGATTGCAATCACTACTCGAACAAGCAAAGCCTTCACCACTCAAATGCCAATGAAAAGTATTGGTTGTGTTCCTGTATATATTGATTGCCTTAACATGTTCCTGAACAGTCTGCAGGTATTAGAGTTCTCAAGCTTATAGTTCTTATGAATTGTCATTATACAACTGTGCCAAGTCCATTTTGGTGTTATTTGTATGACTAGTCACATTTTCAGTCTTTAGTTAAGTGAAATTGTTGAGGTCCTGGAGTTCGGGTGTACTCTCCTTGACCAGAAGTTTAATTTGAAGTATGCAAGAATTCATGACCTAAAAAATATGAAAATATGGCCATAAATATTGCTTAAAATTTTTTTGGTTGCATTTTCGTAACCTTAAAAATCATTGTGCTGTTTAAATAACCATTATATTGAAAATATACTTTTAAAATCTAGCATATCCACAATTCACCCCTTCTACTTTGGCACCCTGTGAAGACAAACTTGTTTAAGTTATTTAATAAATTTTATAGAAACAGTTTACCTTGGCACAAAACTAACGAAACCAAACTAACACTTCCTTGCATCTGGTGCTTTCTACACATTCTTTTTGTGAAACCATACAGCTTAATACAATTATATACAACAAAAATGTGTAAAAAAATTAGATATCAATTAGGAGATATGAGAAATCTTTTTGAGATGACTGCAAGCACATATGCAAATATGGAATCAAAAGGATAAAAATATGACAAAAAATACAAAACTATGACAATAATATGAAAAATTAACCTAAAATGACCAAAGGGTTAAAAAGGGAGCCAAAATATGATTTTATACGACATATGAAAATTGCATAATTTTAGTCATTGTAGATAAAATTATGCTTATCGGACATTTTCCAAGGAAATTTCACAAAGAAGAAAATAACAAAGAATAAAAACTGCCCTTTTTTTGTGGCGAATTGGCCTTCTACGGACCATGTAAACATGCAGTTGTACCCACCAAGGCCCTGCCATATTTTCTCCTGGTGGTATACTTGTGTATTTACTAGGGGGGATCAGCATTTCTGCTGAGTCCATTTTTACACCCCCAGGTCTGTATGCTCATGGCAGTTCCACATTCTTCTGGTCTAAGGCACTACTGCCTTAGCGATCTCGGCCATTTGATCAGCAATTATTATTATTGTTATATTTACTTTGTTTCTTAAAATAAATATACTTTTTATTGCAGCATAAAGAAAAGTACTAACCAGATGGGAAATGAACCAAATTAGTAATTAATATTTGTATAATTATTGACAATTATATTTTTATTGTCAGAAAGATATTGTAAAGATTTCAGTTATTATTAAATTTAAGTGAGTCTGGTTTTTGACATTTTGTTATTTGCATTTCTTTTTATATAATTCTTTATGCTTGACAGGTTTCTGTGCAAAGCAGTACTATACAAAATAGTGTTCGCCAATTTCTGCATCGGATGGTGGTGTGCTTGGATACTGAAATTTTGCCATACATTCCCAGAGCCTCTCAGGGTCTTTTGAAAAATAATGATATAAAGAGCATGCAGGAATATATACCCCTTCTTGTACAAATTATTTCCAAATTCAAGGTAACAAAATTCAATGAAATAATATCATTGTTTTATTTATAAAGTTGTTCACTTGGTATATACAGGGATCATGTTTATTCTTGCATTATTTTTATTTATTACAGAAAGATGTTCAGCCATTTCTGCAAGAGTGTTTAACTCCCATTGTGACTGCAATATTCTCTACTTTGCTAGCACCTCTGGAAGAGGGGGATGAAGATGGGAAAGTTGAAAAGAATTCGCTTAGAAAGTTATATTTTCAATTCATATCTGCTGTTATTACTAATGCTATTGAAGTGTTTCACGGGCAACAAAATGTAGTGAAACAAGAAATTTTAATGAGTGTTGTGCAGGGAGCTGATGATCCTATTGATCCTGTGGTAAGTTGGTTTGTTCTCATTTTATTTTTAGCCTGTGTGTGTGTGCGCATGTGTTAGCATGCGAGTGTTACGATCAGAAAGTAGCATGCCTGTTAATCAGGCACTATAAAGAGGAGCATACTCAGCTGCATTTTTTTGATTTAGATGTTATGATCCATTCAGACCAGCGGACAATTATTTTGAAAAGTTCTAAAATAGTTGAGCCAGGCTGGAGACCACCTCTCTCTGTGAAATGCATTCTTCTGCCAGCGAGACGAGCTAGGCAATGGCTGATAATGCCTCCTCCCTCCCCATTGTATAAATGTGAGAAACGTATAAGTGCGAAACATGTAAACGGAGTTCCTCTATAAATGTAATGATTAATATTTATAATTGTTAACAAAAAATGTAAATACTACATTTTTAGCTATCTTATCATAACAGTTCTTTGAGCTGAAGCAATTATTTTGAAATGAATGTCTGCCAAATGCTCTGATATTTGGTGATTGTGGGTTGTGTGTTTACCTACAACATGCAGGGCCTTACTTTGAATTTATTTTTCAAAGAATTCATATCAATATTCTCAAAAACTTTTCATCATTATTTCTCTTAATTCTCCACAATATTATATTAAGTGAGGATACCGGATGAAACTAAGTCACTTTATCCCTACGGGCATGGGGCATCCTGCACCCAGTGCTGGGAATTATACTGGAGTCGGCACGATCCAGAGAGCTCACGCGGAGAGACCTCTCGGCCTCTGAATCTATGTCCCGTTAATGAAACTTGTGATATAGAAGCTCAACTCGGCCTGAATAAATGTACAGGCCAAGTTGTGTGCGTGTGTGTATTAATGTACAGGCCAAGTTGTATGCGTGTGTGTATTAATGTACAGGCCAAGTTGTGTGCTTGTATGTATTAATGTACAGGCCAAGTTGTGTGCGTGTGCGTGCGTATCTTATTTTTGTAGCAGAGGTCCCAAGACCGTTCGAACCCGTGGGGTGGCAGCGCGAAGTTGGCTCTTGGGTCACCTCCCGCAGTAGGACTTTAAACAATTTTCAGAGTTTTGCTGGAAAGGGTACAGGAGACTGGATAAATTTAATTACCAAGAAACTTGTCCTTTTTGACCTTTTTTAAAATTTCAAACACACAATGCAATTTCAATATCACATTTTAAATAAAAACATAACATATTCATTTACAGTTAATTTTAAGACTTCTGAGATAAATTTGTAGAGATTTTACTACTAACACACAAACATGGAATATGTTTTATGCACTACTGTACCCTATAAGTGAATCATAATGTTAAACACACCAAGATAAAGACTTTTTTCATTAGTAATTTTTTAAACTGCGTATTGAATTCTTTTTTAGTAATATCTTTTCTAATAAAACGGTAGTGTAAAAATATTGAGTTTTCAGTTTGCTCATAATATTCAATTTAAGTTATGCATTTTCTCACATTTTTCTCCCTTGCCCCCTAAAATGTTTAAGTGAAGTTTTCTGTATTTTCCATAAACTGCATTATTTTCAAGTGTGTAAATGTCATTCAAATAATACTTCATCTTAATTATTTGTTCTGAAAACACTACAAGTTCTCAGAAATGTTTGTTTTCGAAGTTTTTTTGTCATTATAGTTTAGACAAGCAGTGAATTTTCAGTTATCTTCAGACTTTCATTGAGATTTCTATTTTTAGATTTTTGGTCCTGAATTATTTTAGACGGTCATTTTTTATTAAACACATTGAAAACAGATGTGTTAATCAGAAACCATAATTTAGATTCAAGAATTTTATTAAAATGCCCTATTAATTTTGTTAATATTACATTTTATGTAATAAATGTTGCATAATTTCACATTCATGCTTCGATGTTAAATTTTCTAACTAGTATTGTTTTATAATAGTTTCTATTTTAATTTTAGGCCCCTGAGCAAGAAGTCCTTGAAAATGTTAGGATGTAAAACCTTAAAAATTATGGCACATTTTAATAAGATTCTTTAATTTGAAGTATGGTTTCTGATTAACATGTTTCTGGCTTCAGTGTGTTTATTAAAAAAATTACTGTCTAAAATAATCCTGGACAAAAAATCTAAAAACGGGGGGTTTTTAGAAATAGCAAAACTTTCGTTCACTAATACGCGAAATCAGCTGATTTTTTTCAAAAAAATTGGACATGGCATTTTGGACAGACCTGATTTTTTACAAGAGATTTTGTTTAAAGCAAAAATTGCTATCTCCAATTTTGTGGTTTTGAAATGTTCGTGTTTTCGTTTGGCATTTTTGAAAAAATGGAGCTCTAGCCGAAAATGACTAGCACCATATTTTAACTTCTGTATGTGGAGAAAATTTGGAACTGTTTTTAAGAGAAACCATTGAAACTTTCAAGCGGTAATTATGAGAAAGCTATTCTTTTCAAAAATTTGTACATAACCTTTTTTAAAGGGCTAATTTCGTCCAACAGACTTTGTCTGAGACAAAAGTTTCTGACAACAATTTTGTAGTTTTAAAACTTTTTTTGTCACAATTTACAAAAAACCAAGCAACACTCGAAAATGCGACTAGCACCATATGGAGCAGGTTTTTAGAAAAGAAAATTGCGATTGCAAAAACAACTAATTTTGTCAAGAACTTGCACATGACCTCTCTTAAACAGCTAATTTTGTATAACACACTTTGTATGAGGCATATAATTCTATCTTTAATTTTGTCGTTTTATTATAACGTTTATTATATAATTTTCGAAAAGTCGGGGATGTCAACGAAAATGAGATCTAAACCATTATTAAACGTCCTTCGCACTATTCAACAAAAAAATGTAATCAAAAATTTCGATCAGTTCTTGAGGCTTCGTGTGAAGTTCTCTCAAAAATCAAATTAACCGTTGGAAACTCCCAAAGGCACAAGTTCGTTGAGATCGACTGAGGAATATCAACTTTGAAGAAAATCAGCTGAACGGTTTAGGCGCTGGCGTTGACCACAAACGAACGGACATTTTGCCGCCAAACTATTTTTCGGTGATTAGAATCAACTAAACATGGATTCTGGCTCCACCACTTTTTTTTCCTTCCAAATTTACGTAGAGCTGGTTTCACCAACAGCCGAGTAAAGTTGAGAGTAGTTACCCGAGAGTAACCATTTACTCCAAGATAGTAACTCTCGAGTAGAATACGAGCGTTTCACCATGCTTCTAGAGGGTTATTTTACTCTAGAGAACATACTCTCCGATTTACTCCGCAAATCAGCTGAATACACAAGATTTGAGTGCGATTCAAGAGGCTGTGAGCGAGATTGACGCTGGGAACCAATGCGGACCAACGTGAACCTTTGATTAATTCCTTATATTCTATCATTCATTTCAGTTTCGGAGTTCTTGGCGTTATAATCTGGTGTGGTGTTATGGTGGTTTGAGTTAGCATAGTTTATTTCCTAGTTTCTGTATCTTTATTTCTTAATAAATATTCATTCTTCTTCTCGGGAGACGAGTTACTATTTTGTTAGCAAAGCAGAAAAATCTAATTTGCAGTTCGTTTACCGATGGCGGTGCAAATGAATTTTCTATAACTAGGGAACGAAAATGTTTAGTTTTTCAAATGTTGTTGATCTCGTGTTTTTCTCAATTTTATTATTATATGTTGTTTTATTTTTTAAACTTTTATTCATCTTTCAACTATTTGTAGTAAAAACGTTGGAAAAGGATTCTGGAACTCAAGAAACCATGCGCAAATGATCTCCCCCATACGTCACATACAGTTTTTACCGAATAAATAAATGAATATTTCTTAGTACTTGTTGTTCCTGCAGTTATTATTTTTTCTTTTGTTATCATCTTCGGTACGTACCTTTATTTCGTATCCACATGGGACAAAAAGAACTTTAGACGTTTCCTACAGTTTACAATGTATCTGATGAAGTTAAACAGCTGATTTGGTCAAACATAACCTCATGACAAAAATCTCTGTCGTCATAATTAAAACCAATCCATTCTCTCTCGTACCCTTTGTCTTCGCACTAGTGAATAATATTCCGAATCATTGCTGGAATCGTCTTAAAATACCATCATTCGTAATCGTCGAACCATAACATCACTTCGGAGGTACATGCACGTTGAAAACTGAATTTACTCCGGACTTTACCCGACGGAATTTCGCGGTGTAAAGTTACTCTCGAACTTACTCTCGTGTAAGCGATTTACACTCGAGTAAAGTGTTGGTGAAACGCTCCAAGAAACGACTATGAATTCTTTGTTACATCGAGAAATACTCGATTACTCGAGAATAGAATAGAATTTAAGATTAAAATTTATGTTTTAAATTTAAAAAATTGCCGATGTTGGTGCCGTAGATGGCTGCATAAGTTAATTGAAAATCATCCAGGTAAACTAAATTATTATTCCTTTAATAAACATTTTTGGAGCAGATTTTGTTTACTATCTCGCCTTATTTAGTAAGAAGAGAAAGTCATGAGCGGGAAATCGGATATTATTCGGCAGATAAACTATACTTGCCCGTCCATGGTAACGAAAAAGTGGATAAATCATGTTCTCATATGTAGCAAATTATTTTCACTAACACATTGTTTAGTCGAAGTCCATATTTTGTGGCAATAATAATAATAATAATAATAATAATAATAATAATAATAATAATAATAATCTCCTCGCCCGTCTGTCCTTCCTTCCTTCCTTCCTTCCTTCCTTCCTTCCTTCCGTCCGTCCGTCCGTCCGTCCGTCCGTCCGTCCGTCCGTCCGTCCGTCCGTCCGTCCGTCCGTCCTTCCTTCCTTCCGTCTGCTTGACTGTCTTTCCGTCTGTGTTGTTTGTTCGCTCGCTCGCTCGCCTGTGTCTATGTACACTCCCGTCGCCGAGGGGAGGATATGGGTGATCTGGGCTGTCCGGGTGACCACGACAGGATGGTCGAAACGTCGGCAACTCAGCCTTCGACGCGGCGTCACCCGGACAGCCCAGATCACCCACATGACTCTGGTCGCGGAAGCCTACGAATTCAGAGGGGAGGATATGTAGCGATGTGGAGATTGCCGTGCCAAGGTGGCATGTTAAGTGAAAGTAATATGTGGGAATGAAATGTTAGAATGTGGATGGGTTCGAGAGTTCTGGAATAGAAGGCTCTTATGAAGGATGAATAAAAGTCAAAACGTTGGCTCTTTAAATGAGGTTGTTATTGACTTAAACTCAAGAAAATTTCTTAACAAAATTGTAATAGCATTTACACAAAAAGATTGAACTTTCCTATCCGAAACAGTATAGTTACTTCTTTTCGGCGCATCTTTCGAGGGTGATTGCACCTTTTTTTATAACGTTTCTACTTTAAACTTGAGTTTATTTCTTACGTTTCCAAAATTCAGTTTTATAAGAGAGCTGTGCCCCGAGACGCTTGCTTGTGAGTGAAAAATGTTAATATTGAATCATTTCATCATTATCAAAATTTTCGGCAATTTGAAATATTTATGGGCGGCTAAAACAGTATATTAAACATTTGGTAAGCTAGATAATTTTTTAAAACTTACTATTTGTAGTGTAATTGTCTTATTGTTTCTGTTTTACAGATGCAGAAGAACTGTTTTGTTATCTTGCGAAAGTTGATTGAATCTTCCGGAGAAGAAATTTCAGCAGCTTCTGGAAATGAGTTTCTGCTGTTCATGCACCAAACCGTGATAAGGCTTTGCTTTGAGGTTGTTCTGAAAAGTGCATGTACTGCGCATACCCCAAATACTGACGTAGTTTTAATGGAATGTGCAGCATGTCTAAAAGCAATGTACAACAAAAGGGTAAGTGTATGAATGATCTTCAGTAGTGTGGAGCATTTTTAAAAAAATGCCTTCACACCCATTAACTAAAAATTACTCGAAAACGACTAAGAAATGTGTGCATGATATTATATATCAGAAACGAAATCTCTATCTCCAATAGTACAGTTATAGGAAGTCACGGTAAAAATTGAACCTTTACCATTTTCGCCATTTCACTGGTTTTCCTGGAAATAAGGCCTCCCCATTTTCATAAGCGCGCATTGTTTCTTTTCAGCAAAAGAATTACGCGACAAACACTAGAGATTTTTTAAGAAAATTTCCAAATGTCCTAAAGACTTCATATAAAGTGCTCCCCGAAATTGAGAGATCCTTTTAAATTTGTGGAATTCATCTTGGAACATCAATTTTGGTTTTTTAATTCGTTGCGTTTTCAAGCCCTTCTTGTGACCTATAGAGATGGGACAGGGCATCAACTTATGTCACTGCAGTCTCTCTGACCGGGAGGTCCTAGGTTCGAAACCCCACGGAGGCAGGATTTACAACACTAGCTTCTCAGTTGGGTCAGATTCACTCGAAAGTTGGAGAAGAATTCTAGCGGCAGGCTGTTCTGACTGATAGTTTTCCATTGTTTTTCCGACGCCAGGCGAATGTCGGATCAGTATCCTAACATATCGGTCACGAACCGCGCGCAATCTTTCCTACCCCCCTCCTTGTCCTATCTTTTACACACACTGACACTAGCGTGCACTTCACTACTACACATGTCGGGAGACCGGTCGGGAGTTCCGGCAGGAGCGGTGCCCCTCTGGTGGCAGATTCCTGGTTAAGGAAATCCCCGCTTGCTGACGGTAGGTCGGCGCCGGATCTCGATATGTAGCGGGAGAAGACCACAGCCACCTCCCGAGCAAACATGCATTACATTTATGGAACTAAAGGCTAGTTTACGCGTCTTGAATCGTCATCAACACCACCTTTCTTGGACATTGAGCACCCGGAGTAATCCTCGATATTTTTTGTCTCGTCACACCACAGTCGGTCAGTGTACTTCCCGGCTGGTTGACCGGCGTCTCCGACCAATTCAAACACATTGGGGTGGGGGTTCGCTCTAATAGTGAAGGGACCGGCAAACAAAGGGAAAAATTTAGCGAATAGCCCCCTTGGCGCATCTGACGTAGCGGGTGTGCGTAAAAGCACCCTGACGCCGACCTCAAACTTGTGCAGTTTCTTAATCAGTCTTTTTCTCTTCTAGGCGGCTTTGTTTAAGTTCCCGTAAACGATGCGACATCTGTCCTCGAAGTTCAGTGTCCTGTGCGTAGCCAGACGCTCTAGAAGAGGAAAATTCGCCGGCGGCTTCTCTCCAAAATGAATCTCATAAGGAGACATACCCGCGCTCTCGTGAGGCACTCGATTAATCCATCGGTTGATGTGTGGCAGTACTTCCGGCCACCTCTAGTGGATAGGCGCGATAATTCTCGCATGATTCTCTCACGGAGGTTACTCTGAGGGTGTCTGATGGACGAAAAAATTACGCGTATTCCTAACCCTTCTAATGTTGATCGCAAGAGGTTCCCAGCGAATTGCGTACCGTGATCAGAGAGTACTCTTTTGCTTTGCCCCGCCACCTGAAAATACTCCTGCGTCAGCTTTCGCAAGCAATTTCACGCTGTCTGCCTCGTGATCGGGTATGTGAGCGTGAATTTTGAGAAAGCATCACATATCACCATCACATGTTTATACCCGTAGCGGGCGGTAGGTAGCGGCCTGTATAAATTCAAGCACACTAATTCACCTGGTGCGTGGGGAATAACGTGCTCCATTGGCCCTGCGTAATGGCGGTTCGGGTATTTGGTCTTCTGGCATAATGCACATTTAGCAATAATGACCCTAATATCCCTAGTCATATTTTTCCAGAACGCGAACGATTGAATAATGGCTAATATCTTTTCACTGCCGTAGTGACCGTACGTTTGGTGTAAATGAAGTGTGAGTTTCTTAGTGATAGCGGCTGGTATCCAAATTCTATACTGCGGTTCGGGCTCACTCGCGGCAAACACTAACTCGGCCGACAATTTGACTGCGGCACTGTCGCTCTGAAACTTGGCGTATAGGCGGTCTTCATTATTTAGTTCGCCCTTTAAAAATTTCTTGGCCCTGCCTATAATTTCGTCCTGCTCTTGCAATAATTTCAAATTTGACGGTCGCATTTCCGGGATCGGCTTGACATCTAGTATATAGTATTATGGAGATCACTGGTTCAAAACAATCACATTAACATTTCTTTTGTTTGGGAATTCCAAACTCACTATTATAAACGTATAAAACTAAAGTAAATTATGCAAAAACTTTCGTAAGTGTACATTGTTCTGCCAGAGCTAATGTTTTACATTACTTACGTTTTTGTAAGGTACAGAGGAAAATCGGAAAACCGCAATAATTAGCTCTCCTGAGATGCTAGCCCTATGACATTTTCGCACAGTCCTGCCCACACTATTAACAAAATACTTGTTCTGTATTTCAGTACGCCTTATCAAACAACCCCGTATGTACCAAATGTTGTGAAACGTCACACAATGAAGCATTATGTACCTCATCACCCCATTGCATTAACTACGAGGGTGATCATGCTGCAAATTTGAACCAGTGCCTAAAGTTCATTAGGTGGTGAATGCTGCTAATTGCTCCCATCCCAACATTACTAATTGTTTAAATGCACCTACCTGAATTCCATGATTTTTACCTGTCTGTGAAACAAGTAGTCAGAGTACATATTTTGGTTATGATTATTTTACCTTTCATCATTGTATACATTTTCTTGTTCTACTGGTTCTCCATTTCAAATCAATTTTTATGTCATATGTTTGCATGCATGTGTGCCCAGTAAACAGTACATCTCTTGTTTCAGGGAGAAGAAATGGTCACATTTGTGGAGACCACCTGCCTGGCGAATCCACAGATTCCTCCACAACGTCGGGGGGAGTTTGCCTTTGCTCTGAAGTCTGATACTAAAACTCTCAAAAACTTCCTTAAAGTGAGTAATTCCCATTTCAGGATGATTAATTGAGTTGCTGTATGGAAGAAGCAAGAAGTTTTTGTGATCCCAGGTTAACTATCTCATGTTGGCCAATTATTCTCAAAAGTATTAATGGAGTTGATATTCCCTGTTTACTAGGTTATTACTGGATTATTATTAGTTCAGCATGATAGGGAAAGTTGTTTAATCTTTCTGCTGTTGTACACAGTGTATAAATTTCGTCTTTTGATTCAAATATTCATAGAAGAACTTGCCAATTTTTTCCTCAGACTTTTGGCTCCAGTAGGGCAGCGTTAATTGCTCCTAATCTTACAAGATTCAAAATCAAATTCTACTTAATCGAATAAATTAATTGATGTTTCCATATTTACTGATTTATCACTTACGTGCTCAATGTTTGTTGATTTTTTTTTTGTTTTGTTTTGTATGGTATACAAAAAGTTGTATTTATTTTGTGACTGTTGATGATGTGTTTTTAGTAAGTTAACTTTGAAGAAAGATACCGGAAATGAACATGAAAGAGAATTGAATATATCGCTTTCATAATAATGTTTTACTCTATATTGCCATTTCTGAATCCCAGTTATCCTATGGACTGATTTGTTATTATTCTTCATCTGCGAAATTCAGCCTGTTAATATTGGTCTTAAGAAATCAGTTTTTACCATTGTACTCAAGAGCATGAATGATAATGCCAGTTCATTCTTAAATATCTTAATTGTGGTTGCATATGAATTTGCTGGCGAGGACAATGTAACAATTAACAAATCAAACTCTTGTACTGGAGCATGTGGGTCCTAACCTGGTGAAAGTCGTGAATTTTTGAAGGTGAAAAATACTGTTTGGAAGGGAAAGCAAACTAGTTGATCCACAATGCAGATTTGTGGCTTATAAAAGAATCGCAAACATAAATGATGCTTTTGAGGAAAAAACTAACCCCTCAACCCCCTAGCAATACCTCGGTTTGCTATTAGGTTGCATTGTCGCAGTAGGGCTCAGTCACTTATACTACAAAGGGGAGGGGGACTAAATTTATGGTTAAATTTTGTTGGGCTGTAAGAGCACCACATAATAACAACAATCAAAATATTGCTCTGGATAAAACATGGAAAATAATTGATTAAGTTCATAAAATTTTATAAATTGTTTCCAGTGGTCTCGCATCCTGTAACATTTCTGAGGTACACTATTCTTGGGTTCTGTGGAGACATTTGTTCCCAAATGTCTTCTGCAAATACAATGTGGTAGAATGGGTGCAGTGAAAACCTCATTTCACCCCAGTCACAGTTGGTTATCTCAAAGATTAGAGTGCAGATGATATAGTAAATTTGATATGATTAATGTCTGCTGCTTGCTAATTCGCAAATTTGTCGGTTAATGTTCACATTATCCAAAATGGGTTGATAAAGTCAGAGACTAGGAACAGCTTCAAAACAATTAGGGGGTAACAAAAATAATCTTTAAAATTTCTCTCTGTGGGTTAAAATTTGGTGACTGAGAGGCCATGGAGATAAGATATCAATAATTTAACCTGTAATTAATAGTGAGATAATCTTTATTGATTGTGTTAGGATTGAAGTGATAGGTTGAAGTGTTATGGGAATTATAATGCATGATTATTCAAAACATAAAATTCATTTAATTCCACTCAGTTTTCAGTTGGGTTATGTGTGTTCATTTGATTTGCTCATGGCTGTGCATTAAAATCTACTTTTAGCAGTTGCTACCAAATCAACTGTCTAGACCTCTTGCGTGCTACTTGTAGGTGACAACAGCTGGCAAACCGTACAGCTACACTTGCCAAAACAGAAAATTAAATCAACTTGATTTTGATCAAACTTGATTGATATGCCTACTGATAAACAATATAGTATCCCCTAATGATGACTGGTCATATGTTTAAACAAACCATTCAGGGGCATCTTTCAACAACGTTGGCAGCACATTTTGCTTGATGTTGGGTAACAGATACCATCTTGTTTCTAGGAGGTTGTCTGAAAATGCTGTTCTTTGAAAAAGACCTGGTTAATCAGATTATGATTAAATCTTAAAAAATCTAGATCATGCTCAATTGTTATTAGAATGTACAAAAAATTGATTCATTGGCACTTGTTTGGCAAAATGTAGGTGACATCTTAAACATTCATTTGCAGCTTTAAAGTACTGAAAACTCTTTATATTCAGTGTGCTGAGTATTTTTTTATTTTGTATTAGGAAAGAGAAACTAATGGGATGAGAACTTTGAGGGAAAACAGCAGCTTCACAGCAGGGCATTTTGTAGGAATGAACAATGGTGATAAAGTAACCTAAAATGGAAGTTTGTATGATTGGCTACTAATAATTCTAATGTAATTTTATGTCAGAACTTGGGTAAAAGATTTCAGCAAGGCAGTTGAGAAGGCAGTTAATTCTTGCCAATGAATTGTAGAACTTGATGACTACTATGCAACTTAATATTACCACCTGTCACTTGTTTTCATTCCAACACAATGTTCATTAGTTTTCAAAACTATTTTTAACATATGTAGAATAAACCCATAAAAGAAGGGAAATATAAATACTTTAATTTCATTGTTTCTATTGAAATAAAATTCTGTCAATTGTAATGTTTCTCTTTTTGTTTTACAGATAATGTATCAACTGAATTCGTGATACATCCTTGAATATAGTGGTGTGAATGTACATTTGGATAGGTACACTATATATAATTGTAATATATCAAGACAAAATTATGTATATTTGAATTTTTTTTTTTTTTTTATAAGGTTTTATCTCTTACGTGGTCTAAGAGTAAACTTTGCAATCACCATTATCGAGTGAAATCGAAGCTTCCTTTTTACATGTTGAAAGAACAACATTCTGTGATTCGAGAAATGCTTCGTGCATTGTGTGTGTATCAAGAAGACTTGATTTTTTCTTTCTTTTCTTTTTTCTTTCTTTCTTTTTTTTCTTCTTATCCGATTACAATTTTTGTCTTTGGACAGATCATTGTTCTTGTGTCAGTTTTTTGAAATGCACATTTTTAATTACGCTTTATTACGAAGGTTTAAAACACTAGGATATTTTTATTTCTTTTTCTTTGTTGTGAAATAGCGTTTTCACTAGTGGTAGATTTTTTTTATCTCCTTTTTTTCTTTCTTTCTTTTTTTCTTTCTTTTTTTTCTTTCTTTCTTTTTATTTTTTTCTTCTGTACAATGTGAAAATTTCTTTATTTGACAAATCCCATTCTCATTCAAGGAGATGGAAACTAAGGTATTCATCAGGAGCAAGTAGTTGCCTGAAAGCAATGAACTTTTACCTACAAATTGTGTATAAATTATTGTAACTTGAAAAGATTTAAAAATAATACACTTGCAAACTGCTTATTATTAAAGGTGCAGTGTTAAAACACCCCTGAATTTATTAATTTCAACTTTCCATTCTAGAAAGCTGAAATATGTAATGAAAATCAGTTATTGTAAACAAAGAAGTTGATTTCTTTGATGATCCAAGGTTTATTAACTGCCCACAGCGGTAATACCAAAATTATAGTTCATTATTGAATTTCTGTAAGACATAAGTATTACAGAATCAAAAGTGTCAGCATTGTTTTTACAAATCTGAAAATTGAAGTTCTTGTAAATTCCTTGTTAAAGTTTTATTTTACCTGAAGTATGTATATCTACAAGCTTTATTAATTATGTTTTTCAATTGTAAGGTATATTATTAATATATATATTAACATTTCATTTCGTAAGTGGCCCTTGTTTGAACACTGGTCTACCTAGTGATAGAAAATCATTTCCCTTTGAAGGTACACGTTCTGTTCATCATTCCAGTTTTTGCCATCTTAGATCTTAGAGGCTGTAAGATGTGCAAAATTCTGAATGGATCGTTATGAGATAGACTGAAGTGACCAAGCTCTGATCATCGAAATTATCTTTTTAAAAGTATTGGTATTGCATGTGTGCAAATCTGCTAAATGCATTTTCATTGGTGTTTTCAGTCTCATCTTGCAAGTGTATTTCACTGCTCTCTCAAATAATTTTACTGCAACTTAGTGTTACATTTTACTCAATAAAAGGACGTGAATTTGGGTAGTATTCAAACTCTGCTATGCAATTCTATTTTTCTGTGTATGATGATTAAACAGAATGTGCTGACATTCTTAACATTTTAAAAATGTTATTATAATATTTTCTAAAATCTGAGTTGTGAATGTGCAGTGAATGCCTTAGTTTTGTATGCACTAGCATTTGATAATTTCAATGTTGTTGTCCTAGTGGAAATAATCTACTAATTTCCTTACTGAATTTTTACTCTTAAGAAAAATTTTGGTAGTTTAAAATGTTATTATTTTTCTCTTGGGTACTTAGGAGGAAATAAATGTAATGGTTGAATCTACCGAAAATATCTGAAAATAAGTTACAGAAATACTTGTATTTTGATGGATATATTTTCTGAATTATAAGTGCAAATTATCTGTTTCAGAAGTCTTCTGTATTACCTAGGTGTTCCGTGTAATTTCTTGTATATATGAATCCAATTATGAAAAACATTTGCTCTTATCCACCCCCCAGACAACACTGGATCTTTTAAATTAAAAATTAACTTTTTTAAATTGTAAATGGTCAATGTATATAAATGCATCTAGATTGTGTTAAAACTGAGGGCAAAATTTGTTTGCTTTCTATGCTTGGGAGAGTAATATCTGCTTTGGTCTACTGTTCCTTTGCATAGAAACCAACACTAAATTTGCAGGAATCACTTAAAGGGGGCACAAAACCTTGGATTATTGCATATCCTCTCAGAGTTATAGGGAGGAGACTTTGGTATATACCATAATATACTCGTATCGTACTGAAAATGAATCAAAAAATTGGCAAAATAAAATTTTTTAATATTATTTTGGCAAACTCCTTGTATTCAGGGGTTTAGAGAAGAAATACAATTCTTAAAGAGTGATTTAAGTGCTACTCACAAATATATAGAATTTGACTTGCACAAATTTATTATAATAAAATTATGCTTCAAATTGACAGAAACAAGATTTGTGAGGGCTAAAAAATGACAGGAAACTTTACCCACATTAGAAAGAAAAGAACTTGACAAGAAGTAAAATATATCTCTTTAAAACTAAGTAAATAGCATGGAACTAAAATATCACAAGAAGAATCAAAAGTTGTTTATCAACATCATGTGAACATGGAGCAGCTTCTTTGTAAACCAGCAGATGATTTGCAACCACTAGCTGATATTGTGACAAATGTTATGAAGCTCTTACATGATTCTCGGGGGGGGGGGGGGTCAATAATTTGGTATTTAGCAACAAAGGCAACACAAGTAACATGTTCCATAAAATGTTAACTATATATGATAATAATCAAAGGAGCAGAATTAATAACTCTCCATATGAAAGATTGTTGATGGTGCGGTAATTATTTCCACAGTGTTGGTGTGTGTCTGTTTGAGGGGGGAGAGAGAGATAATAAAGGCAAAATTAGCATGTGCTAAATGATTTCAGAACATCAAGATGACATTAAAGGAAAATATAGTTTGCTTTCTTTGAAATGATATGAAAGAAATCAGCATTTCACTGTTCATAGCATAAGTGAGCTACAATCCACACTAATTACACTCAGATTAGCATCCAAAAACCTCTATACACACACTCGCACAAATACTTTTTCTTCTTTAGTCGGTTCCTTTAGTAACTTAGTCTCTTTTGAACATGAGCACTGCTTAACTAGAAGGTTTGTATGTTTAACTTGTCACAAACCACTAAATAGTTATATTTTTTCAATAGAGTTTGCCTCTATGATAGCAATAACTTATGGCACATGGTGTCTGTACTATTAATTTTTGTTATTATCAAAGCATGTGTAACAACCTATTTGGCCTTTTGAGAACAAGCAAAAAATTATCTTAGTCCATAAAGGCCTCACACCTTGTTACCCTAAGTAAATCCATTATTGGGGAATTTGTGTGTTGTATGTTTTGTAAATTTAAGGTGGTGTTGCATTGATCTTTTCAAGATAACATTATTGTTGTTAATATAAAAATTGACCATTGAACTTACAACTTGTTGGTAGTGGAGAGTGAGATTTGGTGAAGAATTGTGGCTAGTCAAAAATCAAGAAGTCCTAAATTACCCATTGATAGCGTGAAAGAGTGTGCCATGAAGAAACAAAGCTGTTACATGAAGTATGTTACTTAGACAATGGAGGCCCTGGGAGAATTAAAATTTATTTGAAGTAATTGTAATTTAGGCCTCAATTATCATTTAGGCAATAAGGAACATGAGAAATTGAAACTGTTACTTGAAATAATGAAGAGAGAAATTTTTTTTCTTCCTTATTTTATATTCATGCAAAATCTCTATGATCCACAAACTCAATCATTCTAATTGGAATTTGTTCTAAAATTACTCACAGGGGTATCTATTATATTGTTTTTCTGTGCTCTACTTTAATGCAAAATGAATTAAAAATATGAATTGACTTGTGAAGTTTATATTAAGGCCTAGAATATTAGAAGTGGATTGATTTTCAGTGAGTGTTTTAAAATATTAATTTATTAAAATGCTGAATGTTCTGATGATATACTAGGAATTAATGAAGTTAAATTGACAGTTTTGGGTCTGGTCTAGGGATTGATAGAAAAAGCTTTCTCTGTACCCATTTATGGAGAATTCAATGTTTATTGATTGGGTGGTATGGAATTAAAGTAAATTTATATTAAATGTAGATTAACTCTAGGTACTATACATAGGAAATGATGTTCGTAGTGCTGTTTTAATGCACTTGCAGCAGCCTTGAAGTTCCTGGACCATCAGCAAAAAAAATGCATTATGAGGAACCCTACATCTTTCTAATTACTAATTCTTCTTTGATGCTGGGGAAAATTCAATCCTTTAGGATGAAATGATTAATGGCTTTGGTGTACTCTGTCATTCAAATTTCTGTAACTTACTTTCATTAGAAAGTATTTAGTTGTTTATATTTCAATATTAATTGAATAATATAAGTACAATTACTTTCAGAAATTCAAAAAAACTCGCCATTATATGTGCACTAAAAATCTAATTTTGTATCACCATTGGCTGGACCAAATATTTCTTCCACTGTAGGTTGTTAGAGGTCTAATGTGTTTTTGCCAGTTCCACATCCTTTTAGAATGCTCTCTGTTCAAGTTTCTGGAGATTTTCTCTTCAATGTAGCTGGGAAACCTTCTTTTCTGATAGTTTAATCTACAATGAGTTATACTTTTGTTTGTTTGGTGGTTGCTCACGGGTCAAGAGATCAAGATGTCTGTGTATGATACTTCCGAATGGACATATTAACTGAAATTGGAGGGGGGAGGATTATGTTTGTCAAGATCTGATGAGGACCTTCAAATGGGATCTGCATCAGTAATTTTCAACATTGTAGATACAGTGGGTTGTGCAAAAGACTACCTTGTTATTAATGGAAATCATTGTTAATGGAAATCTTCTCTGCTATTTTTGATAACATCTTAGAAGAGCAGAAACGAGTATACCTGTGGATAATTGTAACAACATAGGAGGAGTACTTTAAAATGGTGCTTGCGTGGTTTTTATATTAGATCTTTCTTGCTATGTACAGTTTCATTTTGTTTTTATTTATATGTTGAATATATTTAAAAAACGAATCAATGTTGTATTTATTAAATACCTGAAGAGTATAATGGTGTATAGTTTTAAATAGTTTACTAAATAATATGGTGGTGATATGCTAACTTCTTTTGGTAAGTATTTAGATTAGTCATGTTTATCATCAGTTTGGTGTACAGCATCCAAAACAGTCTCTTTACATATGAAAGTTCGTAAATTAATAGGAAAGAACTTAAACTCTAACTAGCAGGTTGGAAATAAAGAAATTAAAAATAAATAAAAGTTCAACAAAAATTTAGAAACTGCACATTACTTGCATGAATATAGATAATTGTGAAAAGGCTTCTAGAAATAAATAATATGGAACAAATTTGTTGAAATACAAAGTAACCAAGTTTCTTGTTATTTCATTTGTATTTCTAAAAATGTAGGAACTACAGGTGTTGAACTGTCAACAAGTAGTAGAATAGTCTGTGTTTAGTTAAGTAGATTTAATTGACAACATGCTATTATTATGCAGAATACAGCTATAAGTAAGTGCAAGTATTATTTTGAGTTCATTAGAAGCTATGAAGAGCTTATTTTTAAAATATGCCAAGTCCAAAAATTAGGGTTATTACAGGAATTGTGTGATAATTTACCAGCTTGTTGAAAAAATAATTGAAGTTTTTCCCAAATATTTAAAACAATTGATTTTGGAGAGTTCAATTAAAATAGGAGAGTCTGAACTGTTAGTTTTGAAACCACCTAATCTCAACAAAGCCGGCAGGCAGATCATTGAAAGAACACTTTAAGTCTACTCGTTACTTTTCCGTTTGTTTGCCATATATTGACACAACAAGGGGGGCGGATTTTAATGAAATGTGTTTCTCCCCTAGGGATTGTATGACCCTTTGGGCTATAACGTAATTACCTGCAGAGCCTCCCCTGCCGGACAGGATAAAGGTGAAGATCCAGAAGAGGAACTCCGCCCCTCGCAGCGTCTGGCCCAGAATGGGCTGCTGTCAACGACGGAAAAGATCAACGGTCCGAAAACAATGTCTATCCACATGCCGGAAGGAGCGGTAGAAATAGCTAGAGCAGCATCTTGAATAAACTGCTCTGCAGGCTTGGAAGCAGTAAGATGGCGAACCCATCACCAAGCTAAACCTGGGCAGCGCTCGTAACGCGGCGAGGGGATTGTTACTGGCAGAATCCATAGCCACGGACTCGGAAATTGATTCAATGACAACACGGCTCGAAACCAACAAAGGAAAATTATTGCGGAATAAATAATTTTAAGTACATGAAATTTTAGTTCATTCACAGGTAAAGAAAATGAATTAGCAAGAGTGGTGAAAAGTAATAATTTAGATATCAGTCATATCGGAGACGAAGAAGAAACTTCAAGGCAGTAAATACGTAGAATACTATACCAAGTTCTGCTGTGGCTAGAACAACAACGTGCCAGTAAGGGTGTTGACATTTTAGAAAGTAAAATAGTTACGAATTCTTCTCAGGATCGTCACTGTACGTCTGAAACGTGAGCGAGGAAATCTTACAGTAATCAGAGGATATGCTGTTGAATCTGAAAAGTTCTATAGAAAACTTCAGAAAGTAGTGGAAACGTTCCGTCAAAGCGTCCAACCGGTGGTGGCTGGAGACTTCAATGCGAGTTGGTAATAAGCAAACCGCCAACTGCGTCGGTTTATACGGTTTATACAATCAATAAAAGTTGACATTTGCGGAGAAATTTTGTGAGCTTCAATAAATTAAAAATTCAAAATACTTTTTTTCAGAAAAAAATATATTCACAAGTTTTCTTAGTCATTAAAGGGATTAAGATCAATTATTGATTATTTTATAACATGAGAATTCGGCTGGCCTCATTACTGACGTTAGTGTATAGAGGTGGTTCTAATGAGTTTCTCATAGACGAAGATGTGAACAAGCAGACGAAGTTCACTTATTACTTGAGTTGCTCAGTACCTATATCAGAAACGATGAAATGAGCTCATGCAAAGAAAATACAAGAGGAATGTGTTAACATACAAAAAGCTGTACACAAAATATCTTATGAAGTCCTTGGTAAAAAAAAGGAACAGGAAAGGCCTTAAAATATGGACAAGAGGAAATAGACCATTAACCCTTTACTCCCAGTTTGCTTTGAAGCAACATGTTTTGTTTTTTTTAAAATTATTCTTAGCGCACTCGATTTATATTGAATTATTAACTGATCCATTCTCGAGCTAGGGCCATATAGTTTCATAATCTCCATTAGAGTACAGTATTCCGTGGAGTGTGAAACATTGCTATTAAAAATAACTATGCACAAGCGTAACGATTTCATTGATGCACGTCCCTAATTTTTATATTTTATTTTTGTCAATCTTATAGTTACTATATATTTTGGAAACTAAATTTGTTCACTTACATAATTAATGTTCTACCGAAATATTCAATTGGCTTTTTGTAAAATTCCTTGAAAACCCATGTTTCTTAGAAGCAACAGGGGGGTTTGATGGCAACCTTACGAAGTGAGTGACCTACTCGCGTGCTCTATCTAAAAATGGAAAAACTAGGCTTCTTGAGGGACGAACAAATTGGAATGTTTGTTCTACATTCTGATATTTA